ACTTCGCAAGGCTATATTATCCGCATTTTACAACATTTCGCAACGAAACTTCGGAATATTACTAATTTTGTGATGCTCTTTCAAGCTGTGATGAAATTTTTGCCCAGACTTGTCCAGATCAAAATTTCACTTAAAAGGGTAAAGGTCTATTACTGTGGGCCCCATATCAGCCTTGCTTCCATCGTGTTCTCTGACAGGCTCTTCTCCATCTCATCTTAATACATTTCCGCATACTATATATCATCCGTCATCGTCTCTCAAGAATAATAACTAAAGCTACTTCGCTTTTTCCTAGGCTCACAATGATCTCATTCGAACATACGAAGCGAAACTAAAATCATTTGGTGTTCCAGTGGAAGAACTCGGCTTCCAACCTCTGGAAAGCAACGTGGGGGGTCAAAGTTTAGGGCAGGGGGCAGCTGGTCTGGTGGCTGCCCCTACGTAATAGTTCGATATACGAAACATTTTACTATTCCTGGGGAATTTGAGTAACATATCAGTATTTGTAAATAATGTAAAATAAAGCCATGTATGCAATGCTATTGATGTTGTGATGATAGCCAGCAAATGGAATGAAACTTTAGAGTTTTTTATTGGTGACTCTGACACTTTTAAATCAACCTTTGCATATTCCTGTTACAACATGTTGCGCCGTTTATACCCCACTCTTCTCAACTCAATGCTGAAATGTCATGGTTATTCTTGTATAGAACGCTTACATTTCAAGCTGGATTTTATTACGGGGGTGGGACAACTTAAAGTTGTCGAGCACACGTTGTTGAGTCCCCCCACCCCACCCCACCCCCGTAATAAAAGCGACCTCAAGCATGTAGGACCTCAAGCATGTAGGCCACGACAAACAAACTCGTTGAACCAAATGATTGCAGAAGAAAACCTGTCGTCTATTATCCATCGTATGAAAATAATACAGTTCATGGATTTATGAATTATGATCAGGGGTTTATGATCGAGAAGAGTTCTAGGACTTCGTGAAAATAGCAAATGATCCAGCTTGAAATGTAAGCGTTCTATTCAAGACGTGATAAATTAATCTGCATTTTGCCGTTGTAAACAGGTCTAGAGCGACGGCGACGTCTAAAACTTCCGTGGGATATTGTTAATTTTTCTTTATAACTCTAACTTATAAATATAAGACTGTGTTTCTTGTCACGACCACGATCAGTGACAGTGGGGAGGAGATTGTAATGGGGGTCTTTTGACGCGAGTTAAACCAAGCCAATTATCAACTGTCAGTAAGATATTTCGTCCGTTGTCAGTCAAACTTGTGGGCGAATATCAGTAGCTGATCCACCTTGATTAGTCCTAGGTCGAACAAGGTCAAACATAGCTCAGAACTCAGACACTTCAAAAAGTGTCCCTCGCAGTTAACGGATCACGAAAGAGATTTGCCTAATCGACTTTGTATGATAAGCTAAATTTTAGGCGTTACAATCTGGGAACAGAACGGGGAATGCGAAAAAAGCCGGAATCTTTAAAAGCAGGAACGCGAAAAGCCGGAATCTTTAAAAAACAGGAACGCGAAAAGCCGGAATCTTTAAAAGCAGGAACGCGAAAAGCCGGAATCTTTAAAAGCAGGAACGCGAAAAGCCGGAATTTTTGAAAACAGGAACGCGAAAAGTCGGAATCTTTAAAAGCAGGAACGCGAAAGCGGAATCTTTAAAAGCAGGAACGCGAAAAGCCGGAATCTTTATAAGCAGGACCTTTTGCACAAAATGTTGTCAAAGCTTTAATTTCTTCCCAGTTTGTCTATAAATAGCCAAAACTCATTCTGAAAGACAGAAAGTTCTTTATTGTCTAACTTGCAGAAATTTTACTTGCGCCCTGTTGATCGGAAACAGAAATGTTTTAATACAAACAATATTTTTAAAACAGTCTCCCTCGATGTTTTCCATAATTTTGCATTTACAATTCCGGTATTGTTCACGACTGAAACTTAGTTAATGTTAATTTAATATACAAATGTGAAATTGAGATTTCCTATTACGCCACAAACCGGAAGATAGTTGAAATGATCAATTACAGTGAACAGTCCAGCGCACTGCTGATTTTATAGGTTATAATCAAAATTAACAGAACGAACTAATAACCTTAAACTACTGGGATACTTGCTCCTATTTACATATCAATACGGGCAACACTGTGTCCATGCTGTTTACATCATGCCGTGCACGCAATATATATATATCATGCCCTTGACTTTCCTAAATTTCTGGCACCATCTACGGCCTGACCTGCTGAGAGTTTGCAGTAAACAAGATACGTAATACTATTATATTTTCATATCGAGGAAAAAGCATTTAGTTTTTGTTCAAAATGGAAACTTTAACATTTCGCCAGCTGTATTCCCATTGTTTTGCTTTTCTTGGGGAAGTGCAAAGGTCGTTTCAAGAATTGGACTTTGTACCGCGGTGGGGAAACCCGACAGGTCGCTCGACGTTGATTGGCTGACGGCTTTGTTACGCGACATTTGATTGGTTCCCAAAATAGCCACACGTGAAACTTACATGCTTGTTCTGAAATAGCCAGTCCGTGACTCGTGAGTGTAGTCGCGAAGTTGTCCGAACGAAAGCTTTGCTAAGCTGTCTCTATTTACTTTTGAAAGTACGCGCCGTAAGAGCCGTGTGCCCGTGTAATCTGATCTCTAGGATTATCATTTAGTTAACGGGGCCTCTAGAAAGGTTATTCAATCCCAATATGACTTGGTTTGTCGTGACTTTGCCCGACTCAACGCAAGAATTCGAGTTACCCGACAAGTCCAAAGGGCAAGATTTACTCGATGCGGTAAGTATGGCTAACCTTAAACCCCTTTCCCGTTTTTATTTATTCAAAATTTAACCTTGTTTTATACTTTTCACTTCTCCAGGTTTGCGAGAAGCTAGAAGTCATCGAACAGGATTATTTTGGCTTGCAATACAATGGCCCGAAAGGCGAAAAGCTTTGGTTGAACAGACGAAACAAAATTGGTCGCCAGTTGCCTGGCTCTCAACCTTACAGATTGCGTTTTCGCATGAAATTCTTTGTTCAACCTCATTTACTGGTCGAAGACAACACAAAGTAAGTGTATAAATATATTTTTTCTTTGTGTAAATGTGAAAATGTTTCGGTTTATACAAATGAGTGTTTGGCTCTGTCGTCGTCATGCATTTTCGCGGGCGATTTCCGACCAAAACAATAGCTTATACAAATATATACTGAATATTTTTCCTCAATTTTACAGGCATTACTGCTTCCTAACATGCAAAAAAGACTTCGAAGACTGCCCTACAGCTCACAACGATGAACAGGCAACGCGAATACATGCATTGATTTTACAGGCAACGTTTGGCGATTATGATCGTGCCAGCTATTTACGGCATTCTCGCCAGAATTGGTCGTCCGAATTTTCACACGCAGTAGCGGATCACTACAAAAAATTAGCAGGAATGAAAACATCGTCGGCTGAATACAAGTGCTTGAAAGAGTTCTTCTCTTTGGAGGACTTTGGCTACGAATATCACAGCGTTAAAACGGACGACAACGCGGTACATTCTGTTGCTGTCGGCCGCGAAGGGCTTCGATTCTGCGACGAAACTGGCTCGGTGATTAGAAGGTAATATATAAATAAACATTGCTAGTGTTTCGGTTTTTCCGTTCTAAAAATTTAGCCTTAAGAAGCACTTTTTTACGAAATCATTCGTCATGTGATTTTCCGGTTGAAGAACGATAGACATAAAAATGCAAAGTAGGCAAATTCCATGCTGAAAAATTAAAATTGCCACAAGATTTTTGACAGACTTTCCTTGTTTTTGCATATGTCTTGAGGGATACTACCTGTAATAGTGGTTTTGTATCCCAGATTGCTTTCTAAATGGAAAAACGGGCTGACATTTTCTTCAAATCTCGAGATTTTAATCCATTTCAATTTGATAAATGCAAAATACACAGCTTCGCAGTATGACGTCTATCTATACAGTTATGTCGCAATTTAGAATTTTTCGTGGTCGCCGAATGTGTAACATTAGACCAAATTTTCGGGTTATTTCTGCTGTAATATATTCTCCTCTTTGCCGCATGCACAACATTCGTCGATTTCACACTTGCAAATTAAAAAAAAATGCTCACAAAAACACTTGATATTTGCATCACGAGCCAACTATTAATTTGAATATAAGCATTGTCTCACAATTTGCGAAGCAAATAATTCCCATCTGTAAAAAAAGTCCCAAAAAGTTGCTAGCGTATGCAAAAGCAGTATCTATTCTTTGCCAAAATTGTTTTGTTTGCAAGATTTAGAATTGGCAAAGATGCCAATATTTTTTTGTCGGCGTATCAAAGCGATTCGAGATGCTTTATATGGAGATTCCTTGTACATATAATTTTATGTTTGGATTACAATTTTTTTCTTTTAAGTACAAGCAAGGCTTGCAAGTATCAAATAACGTTAGTGACTTAATGGTATTTTAACATTTTTGGTTTTCGTGCGCCCAAAAGACTAATATCTCAAACCGCAAAAGAATAGTTTATTTTCGTGACTGCTTGACAGCATACATCAATATTATTAATAGATAGATACCTTTTCATTCCGCATACATTAAAAGTGCTTTGTTGGAAAAGTTTCAAGAGTGTCTAATTTCCCCTATAAACCACAGAACACCAAATGTTTGTACAACAGTATGTCTTTCATAGGTATTTTAAAGCCAATTTTATTTTATCTTTGGTTTCCAAATGCAATGATGAATATAATCAGTTTAATTTTTTTTACCACTTATCTTTAATGTTTGTTGAATTATACTGTCCCTCCCCTGGTCCATGTGGTGAGTCCCTCCCCTGGTCCATAGTGATAGCCCTTCCCTGACCAATGTCCCCACTGAAGCAAAAATAGAACCCCCCACCCCATCCTTTAACATGTCACACTTACAACACTGATGAAAATTAGCTTAAATGCATCTGAGCATTAATTAAGAGGAAGGACAATTGAAATCATTAGAGGAACTAAATTGTTAAAAATCGTGAATCTAGCATGCAACCAACCCTCAACTCTAACCCCCTCATCCTAACCAAAACTCAACCACCATGAAATCGCAAACTGTTAAACAAACTACATAATAATATATAAGACCCACTTGCAGCCTGAAATTTCAAAAGTGGAAATAATTTCCTAAATTACAGGCTGCATGCAGGTTAGTTATTGCACATTGCATTTCATCATTTTCAGTATGAAATTTGACATACAATTAGATGATTATAGTAAACACTTGAGGCTATTGTCTACATCTGCCTAACACAGACAATATTCATAACAGGCATGTGTATTGGTCATGGGTATTGCTAAGATGTATATATAGAAATGTCAGGATCAATGATTACCAAAAGTCGTTGTTTTCAAGTTCAAGTTCATCTCAAATGACGATTATGAATAATTAGAATGAGCCTCCAAGGTCATTTCATAAATTGCATATTTCAGTTTAAAATTAGCCATTCTTTAATTACGTGTAGATTTCAATTTAAGCCGTTGGACAAGAAACTACATATAATCCCCAGCACCCAACAGAAAATGACAGTAAAATAATTTGTAAAACCTTTGAACCCAGCAATAATGAGATATATGCACATAATATGCAATTAACCCAATGGAAAATTTGTAGTTTCTGTCAAGCAAACTTGTATCTTCTATAGAATGAAATAATGATTCAACCCCATTATCAACCCACCACTTTCTACTTCATAAGTAGAATTTTATCCAGAATATAAGCAACCAGGGTTCCCACTAGAATTGTGAATAGGATGCAACTTTTTATCATTATAATTCTAGCTGTTTATAACCCATTATTCTCTGAACAAAAAATCTAACAGTTCACTCTCTTCCATTACTCTAGAGTGGCTTACAGTGCTCTGAACAAGGCCTGGAGGGAGAACAGGTGCTTTGCGTTAGTGATAACGAACGACGATGGAACACTACACGAATACGACCTACGAGTTACAACCGCCGAAGCGTGCATCCAGTTATTCAGATCAGTGACAGAATCCCATTCATTCTTCGGATGCGAGACTGTGAACTCAACAGTAAGGAACCAGTACACCAGAGACTTTAAAGATTCAATAATCTCATTCTTTAGTGAAGAGACGTCAGAAAAACTATACACCTTTGACGTTGATAAAACAGTTATCGAAGTACATGACCACATCCGACGAGTTTTATACAGAGAACAACAGAATTCATCAGATTTTGAAGAAATTCCAAGCACAACAGATTGCGAGACAAATTCAACAGAATGCGGACAGAATGTTGGTTTATTACGACAAAAACTTGACAATATCCAGCAGGCATTCCTATGCAAGATCTGTATGGATGCGAAGATCGACACAGTTTTAATACCCTGCGGACATTGGGTTTGCTGCAGAGTTTGTGGTTCAAATATCGACAAGTGTCCGTTGTGTAGAACTGATATTACCCTGCAACAAAGAGTGTACATGGACCTGCCAGGGATCTTTGATGCCAAGGCAAGGGACGACGCTGATTCACAGGAAGAAATGAACATTGATGCATCACATAGCAGATAAATTTGGTTTGAGGTGTCCAAGCAAAACTACCCAAGTGCTTGTTAGAGAATAAACTACTATGAGAAGACTACAACACACATCTATTTACAACCATGAAATATGGCTTGAATGATCATGACAAACTTTGGCTTTTTGAAGGTTCATAAAAGTCCACATAGGATACATTGCTGAATAGGCAAATGGTTTGCCCCATTTCATAATTTTAAAAAATCCTAATTTTCTTATGCAGAAGACAATTTTTATGGACCACACAATCGGGTTACAATTCTGTTATACTGAGCACTGGGCTAATTTTGCTTGCACTCTCGCATTCATTGAAAGTTGGATTTTGATGCAAAGGCACACATGTATGGCATTGCCACTGGCCTTGACCAAAAACTTGACACTGCTTAATTTTGTCAAGATTTGGTATTTTATGCACATAACACAGTTTAGATTTTAACGTACATTCTTAATAGCAGGTATTCTTATGCATAGAACAGTAAACTATATTTAGGGGTTTTAATATGAGGTATTGTAGACAATTAGACTAATATTATAGTATTTATTTTTATATTTAAAAAATTCTATACAGCTTATGTATAGCATGTGTACAATGTAGAGTTTCCCATATAAAAAGTGTTATCTTCCACTGGTTGAGGCACAAAAGAAGCAGAAAATGTTTTCTCACACACTGCTGAGGGCCTGATGGGAATAGGGTGTTAACAGGGGTGTTAGCAGGTGGCGCAGGTAGATGAGCACATTTTTGTTGTTGCTCACCCTGGCTTGACACTATTATTAACTGTGATTGACATAAGTGCCACCCGCACACCCTTTGTTATTAAGAAAAGTTAGAACAGACAGCTTAGGTTACCTAATGTATGTTCGTAGTTAAGCAAGCATTGTGTGATAAATAAATGCCAAGATGCTACCATGCCATGATTCAAAATGATTCGTCATCATCAAAATGCACTCGCCAATTTGCTTATATGAGTTATGAGAGACATTCCCCCCTGAACGTCCACCATTTTTTTATATTTTCAGGGGGGTGAATGCCTCTCATAACCACACTGGCTAGGAACATGGCAACAGCATTATTAAAAAGTCAGACTTCTATAAGGTTCTGTTCTGTGTCCCAGCGGTGTGTGGGAAGTGTGATTTACCATACATAACAGTAAATTTGATATTTGAATGTTACTTCATATTCCAAAATAAAATTAAACATCTAAAATATATGATATGTATTTTGTTACATTTTTTTACAATATATTTTCATAATTTCTACAACCGCACATTTTTGCAAAATGTTAGAGATGTGCTCTAATTCGCTTTAGTTGTACGGTCAATAAAATAGATTTTTAAATTCTGTACTAGCAGAGGCCCAATGTTGCCTATTATGGGTTCTTTTCCAATCACTACAAACTACTGTCAAATGTTGAATGCATTATTTGCAAATTGCAACATACACACAGTTTATTTTCTTATTTTTCTCACTTACTAGTTTATGCAAGAACTTCGTTTCTTTCTCTCAGCAGCTTTAATAGATGTTCAACCCAATGACCTGATATAGGACTATGGATACACACGTATTATAAAAATCTCGCATCTTGTAACAAGTCTGCCACAAGCCCAGACCTTCCAAGTTTCCCGCAATTACTGTGAAATTCCCGCATTTTTGTTTGCTTTCACGCATCACGCACGAAGTGACTTTCTTCCCGCATTTTTAAACTTAACTTGTCGAGATTTCTTCCTGTGGGGGCAATTACTCCCATTTCCGCTTTTCATTTAATTGCACAATGTTCAAATGTTCAATGCATTCTTTTTGCCAACGCCAGTACCCAGAAGTCTTGAGAAGTCTTGAAAATGTGTGTCTCAATCGCATATCAAAAAGAGACAAATGCTGGGAGACTCCTGAGCCTGAAGAGCGCTATTTTTTGCCGTTTGGGAAGAAGCGACGCTAACATTCCATATTTTTATATAGCATGAAAACATAAGGTTTGTGCTTCGGAAAAGGAGGAAGAAAAACCTCGGAAAGGCAATTTTCTGGCGATCTGCGGAACTAAAATTTCCCCCAGGGTGCGCCAACTATCGTGGCGCCCCGTGGACACTAACCTAAGGAAATTACCTTCCCGTATAAAATTTCTCAAAACTTGACAGGTCTGCAAGCCGTCAACAAGATGTATTCGCACTGCTTTTCATAAGTTGTCAACAGGTTTGGAATAAGTTCTTTGTATGTTTGTAGGGAGTATCTAATTGGAGCGGGGAGCGGGTAAAAGGAGTGGGTCGCGGGTAATTAAAAAAGGAGCGGGTAAAAGGAGCGCGTAATTAAAAAAAAGAGCGGGTAATTTGAGTAATTTCCCAGGTGCTAAGCGCCGGTGGGGAATTTTAAAGAAAAAAAAGACATTTTTTTATGAAAGTGTAACAACATGAGGACCATTTTTACTAAGTGAAACCATTGACTTCACATAAAAAATCTCGAAAATTCTATCAAATGTTAAATTGACAGATATTTAACAGCCTGAACCAGTGAACTCTAATAATAACTGGAAGGCTAAGTCAGGGGGGGAAGTTGAAGCCGTGCTTGAAGCTTTTTTTGTAGGTAGACCCAGTCCTTTTTAATTTTTTTTTCAAAATATGCACATTTTTCGATCAGAAAAATCTTGCCCCAAAATATTAGTTATACTACCAAATTTAATTTATATCAGTAGTATTATAAATGAATTTAATATTCGCAAAGCAAACAAATCACGAATTAGCAAAAAAATACGAAAAAACACGGCCATAAGCATGAACGGTCAGAAAAACCGCGCGTTTTAGGCTGCTTTTTCTGAGTTTTTGGAAGTTTAAGATAAAACTAAGACGTCATACCTCAGGAATTATTTAAACCCATGCAAAATACATCTGTATGCGAAGTTTCAAGAAGATTGAACGTTTTAAGGTCGAAAAAAAAGCATTTGAAAATTGACAAAAATATTGCCATATTCAAAGTGCTCATAGTGGCCAACAAGATGCCGATGACGAAAATAACATCACTTGAAAAACGCCAATTTATTTATGTTTAAGAGCGACTAAAACAAGGACTAAAAGCTCAGGATCAATAACAATACCTGGGGTTTAGTACAACATAAGTTTTGGGACTGTCAAAATGTTTTATAGTATATATTTTTGAGTTGAACGGCGAGATTTCCTTCGGCACGTCCAAACTTTCGTCATTTTTTCAAAATACAAAAGCAAAATTCCTTACTTTTTGCTGCAGAGAGATGTAAAACAGTCGGAACTAATCGGAAACTTGGTTTAAATCTCAATCATTGTTGTATTCCCATGGGAAAAGTGTTTTTCTTGCAAATTTTTGCTCGAAAACAAACTTTTGACAGAATTTTTTTCACTCCTCGAAACTCTCCTTAGTCCTTTTGAAAGCTGATTTTCCCGCGCGCCGGCTTCAACGAATCATAGACTTTCATCATAGGAGTTAGCCTTCCAGTTATTATTAGAGTTCACTGGCCTGAACATGTCTTATTATGACGTGCTGAAAATACGTACACACCAGCGCAACGTTTTTGGGTCACCAAATGGACATAAATGATTATAACATGCACAAGTGCTACTCAAAACCCTACAGTCTGTCTCGGCTATTGCCTCACCAAACTGTGGAAAACTATGAACATATTGAACGCGGTTTGCACGGTTAGGGTTTAGGTTTGCAGAACACCATTGAATTTATTCAGAAACTGAGGGTGGTGTAGCATATATACACATTTTTAGACTACACGTACAATAGAGCAAAAGTTTCCAAACACAGGGTGTTTTAATAAGGCACTCACGTTCAGTTTAAACCAGTGAACTCTAAAGCCCCGTTTACACTACACTCAATTTTTGGTACGGTACGGATAAAATCGGTACCCGTATTGGTACGGTAGTTCTTTTAAGAACCAAAAAAGTGGTACGGTACCAAAAATTGAGCGTAGTGTAAAAGGGGCTTAAGGGAACTGGAAAGATAACTTAGCCGCCATCTTTGAAGCCACTCATGATGGCCGCCATGTACGTAAGGCATGAACGTATATAAAAAACCGGATGGCTAAAAACTTGAAATTCGGATAAATTTATAGTAAAAAATGGTTTATAGTTTCCTTTGCTCCATAGAGTTAGTAATGCATAACCACAGTTTGGTG